ATTACTCAATATTGCAGGCCCTAAAATAATTGTTAATTTCCTCTATGTAGGACGCCTTATTGTTTAATGTGGATTGATTTTCTGGTAAACAGGGATATAGTTTAATAGACTTTGTATAATATTTCGATATTTATTCATACAGGGTGGTCAAGAAATTAGTATAAAAACTGAATGTCAAAAATTACCAAAAGCAGATTTTTTCAAATGAAAACCCCCTATTTTTACAAGTTTATCGCATCAAGCATTAAAAATTAGCGTAACTTTATCCAGGGTTACCTATCCCGAAAATGTTTACTTTTCGAGTAATTTGCAATTTATTACGTTTCTATTGTTAAACTCCTATAGGTACAGATTTAGTTTTTTAATTACTTGGCTATGACGGCGGACCGCAGAAAATAAACAATTGAGCACTACAGAAATATCACTTCGTCTAATTAATAATAATATAATTGAAAATTTTCATGTATTCGTAATCAGAATAATATGAAGAATAATTATGATAAGTTTGCTAGTAGATTTCCAAACAAGCACACATACAGTGAAATGAATAACAGGAAACTATTTCGATTTATATCTAACTTTCATACTATTATAAAACATAAAATTTGAAATATGTCAAAAACGGTTAGACTTGGGTATAGGAGATTACATGAAATGTGATTAGAATTTTATGTAGAATCCGAATATTGAGTAACATACAGGGCGTACAATTTAAAATAAGCAAGTTGGCATCAACTTCCGGTATAACCGGAAATGCCAACACCTTGAAAATATTTTTGCTGCCGTTGCCCCATCGACATTAGTATACTCCCAAACTTTAAAAAATATCATATACCTACTTTTCGAGAAATCTATTGATGGAGTTCCCGATGCGACACCTTGTATTCAATATGCTATCTAATCAAGTTTACAGAATTTAACACTTTCTCCGACCACAGATGCCCAACATGGACAGCTGTTTCGTGTTATTTGGCAACTCCCCAGCATGGCTTTGTCTCGGAGAACAGCGAACGAAAGCTGAGCAACTCTAATCATAGTTTATCGAAACATTGCAGCACATAGTGCCATCGATTACCAGAAGTGACCACTGAGCAACTGAAAACAGCAAGCCGTCTGTTGGTACTATATCCCAGTTAGCATTTTCAGCCGGGTCACCACAGTGGCCGCTAGATGCCGCCTATTCTGGTACTATAGTAGATACGGTCTCGTCAATATTGAACTAGGTAGTAATATAGCTTTCGTCGCCTCTCATCCTTTTCCAAAACTTGGGGAATTTCTTGGTGGAAAGCGCTTGAAAAATGAATGTTGAAAGAAACCGTTACCAACTAAGGTGATCCAAAAGCTGGTGCCACGATTTAACAAATGTTTAAATGTTTATGATGACTATTGACGATTTTGTACAACGCCATAGTCATGAGCGCTTTTGTAAAACTTAATCATAGTCATAAGCATAAGCATGGGATGGAAATGAAGTTACTAACTTTCAACTCTTATGCTTATGCCTCAGACTGGAACGTCACTGTACAAAATTTATGTGTAAAAACTATCAATGTGGTTCTCTCTCTATCAATGTTTGTGGGTTTTCCATGTTTTGTGGTTTGTTGTCCTTGTCGTTATCCTAATTTGTTTTTGATTTTTCCGTGTCCTCTTCGGGTTGGATTTTTGCTATTTTTGTTTCGATCGTTATTAGAATTGACCAATTATGAGAGGCTAGGAGGCTATTATCTGTCAAAGTTACAAATGACCAACTGCTTATGACTATGAATAAGACACTTATAGAAACACGCTCCGAACTTGAGATTCCGATTATGACTATGACTATTAAAAGGTTGTATATGCCCGTCATAATATGTTGAGTAGTGAAAAAATGTTCGTTTTGTGTGATATAATCTATGTATATAAATGGCTCTGACACCCTTACAAAACGGTTTTTACTTAAAAAATGACCCTAGTTTGGTTGCTATGCTGAAGGATATGCTCTATCTAGGAAACTAGCGATATATTAAGCTATACTTATATTTAACCGAAATTATGTCAGCTTCAAATGAGCGATCAGCTAAAAGATCCCATTAACTGATGCAATTCAGCAAAACAACCTTTGTTGTGCTTGATACGAATACCAAGATCTCAAGTTGAACGTTTCCATAAGGTACATGTAACTATACCGGCTGTTCCCACAAGCTGATTGTGAGCTATTTTGTTGGCTATAATCTTGTTGCTGATAAAAGTCCCACTATAACACAACCAGCAGTTATCGTCGGAACATCAAAGTACCATCCGGAGCCAGAGAAATTGGATATGAATTGGAGATCCCAGAAGACCGCATTAGGCCACGAAGGGTTAATCCGGTTAATCTACACTCAATGGAATCCGTTAGTCCTTGTTAATCAATCAGCCAAGTTGTGCCACTGCCCATTAAATAACTACAAATGCATTCACCAGCAGAAATCCGTTTTGCCATGCAGGACGGCATATCCACCACACTTCATACTGCCTTGGAGCCGAAATTGCTGAGTCCGTACAACAATGGATACTGGTGGACTTTTAAAGTAGTCAATCAACCAACTAAGTCTAAGCAATATCTTTGCATCTTATGGGCAAGATGTCTTGATTCAGATTTTGTACATACTACTCAAAAAGGGCCTTTTTTTACGAATCTGCAATATTTTTCAACAAATTTCAAAAATTTATTTTTTTCGCCCAGGTCAAATTGTTGCCTCGAACGTTGATAGTTTTCGAGATATACGCAACACGATATTTGAAAAAGTGCGAAATATGTCGTCTTCGACCCCAAAAAACGATATAAAAAAACTAAAAACTTTAATGTTGCCGATGTTCGTAAATATTCTGCAAACATTCATTAACACAATCCAGAGGAATTCCAGGACGCATTGTTATATCTCTCTCGCACTCACGGAGAGTACACTGTGCGCGCGCTTGCTTAACAATTAATAAAAAAACTACAATGAAAATACCTCCTCAGATGCTTTGGGATTTTGTTCGTACACGTTTGAAGATTATTTAGGATAGCTGGTAACATTAAAATTTTTCATCTTTTCATATATTTTTTTCGGGCTTATCATATTGTTTTCCGGGCTCGAAGGCATATTACGCACTTTTCAAATATTGTATTGCTTATATCACGAAAGCTGTCAACTTTAGAGAGAAATTCTGAAGTATCTTTTTTCTTCAGAGAAGAAACTAAGAACAGTTTGATCGGAGCTAAAAAATCGATTTTTTGCATTTGTTCAGGAAACGTTTTGACATAAATTTGGGCTTGGCAACGTGGAGATTCGTTGAACGAGGTCCTGACTGAGATTATGCAAAAAATCCGAATCAGAATATTTTTCCCAGCAGATGCGAAGATATTGTCCAAATGTCTTCAACAGCAAGAATCCGTTTTTCCATCCATGAAAAGAATACGCAGCCCAACTCCAGCTGCCTTGGAATTGGGGTTGCTTCCAGTCAGTACAACAATGTATACTAAGGTACTATACCTGCGGCAAACAATGCCCGGAGGCTAATACAGCCCATGATAAATATTTTAAGACATATGCTTATGCCCTGAAATCTGGTATTGTTAAGATGTTTCCAACTATACATCCAAGGTCACAATCAGCCCCGGCACTACGTAGATTGAATACCGTCAGCAAAATCAGTAACAATTCGAGCGATGTGCAGTGTACACTGAACATGTATGGTTTCTAATATTTTACGAACCTATTCACGTTAAAATTCCGTTAATCAAATTTTGCTTGTCTATAACAAATAGTACATTGTGTTCTGCTTTGTATAGGTTTGGTTTTGCTGCAAAAACGTTAGCGATAAGGTAAGTGACACTTGAATATTTTTAATTTGTTCTCATTAGCAGCATTTCGGTAAACAAGGCCCTATAATTTTCGGCAAATAAGGCCCACGCCTATAGTGGGCCTTATTAAACGACGTTGTAAAACATATTTTTCGTATTTAGGTTTCCCCGTGAACATGCCACCAAAACATAGAAAGCGAGCAAACTGGACTACAGAGCAGCGTTACAATAGACCCAGGAGAACCCTTAGGAACCACTTAAAATCAGACGTTCTCGATAAAAAAATTGGGCGGTTTTAACAACCGACCAAGAAAAACAGCTTGCCGAAAGAATAGGTCGTTTCTGTGATATAGGAATATCACTAAACCCATTGTTAGTACGTCGTTCTGCGTACAGATTCTATGTTGAAAATAGCATTCAGCACCCATTTGATGCTTCCAAAGGAATTGTTGGTAAAGACTGGATGAACGGTTTTTCAAAACGTAATTCTCATTTGTCAAAATTAAATAAACTTATAGTGAATGATTACTCTACCAAACTAGCCAACATTTTTGATGACAGGAATTAACATCAAAATTCACAGAATCTTTTCAACATGGATGAAAAGGGATGCCGATTGAGTATTCATCATCAAGTTATTAGTCAGAAAGGTGAAAGACGTGTCCACCTGGTCGCACCCGAGCATGCAGGAAACGTCACCATTGCTGGATGTTGTTATGCTTTAAGATTTAGGAAATAGTATTCCACCTATGGCCGTATTTAAGGGAGAGAGATTAAAAGCTGAATATGAAGAAGACTTACCACAAGGTACGTTGGTTAAAATGGCTGAAAAGGGTAGCATGCCCACTCAGCTTTTCAATGAATTTCTTAGGCATCTCCATAATAGAGGTTGCAGATGAATTAGATATAAAGCTGTTTTATCTGCATTTCAACACAACACATGAGCTACAGCCTCTAGATAAAGCCGTTTATCGTTCGTTTGAATATCACTGGGACCAACCGGTGCTCAGATTTGGGATGTTAATCCAGATCGCCGCCTACACAAATATTGCTTTAGCAAAATTTTATCTAAAGTTTGGCCTAGATGCATGACTGTCTTAAGCAGAGTAATACTATTACCAAATCTATCGATTCAGAATCTACCGACTCTAAAGAAGATATTCTTATCAGTGCAATAAAAAGATCTATCTAGCAAAAAGCTACTAATGAGCAAAAATACTCATCTGAAACACCCAAGAAAACTAATGATGCAATTCAAATACAATTGGAAAGACAAGATCTCAATAAGTCTTTTAATGAACTACTGCCTACGCCTGAACTTTTTAGACTGAAAGAGAACAAGGCGCCGAAAAGAAAATCCATTAACTACAAAGCACAGTTAGTAACCAAAGACCTGTTCTCTTCAAGGTCCTCTAAATGCGAACTCAAACGTAAAATCAGAAAGCAACCAACAGCATCCTCGTCGAAGATTCTAGTGGAAAACTGCTCAGACAATAACACGCCAAAAAGTGAATCTTGGTACTGTTGAGTGTGTAAAAAATCAGAACAATTAGATATGCGGTCTTGTGTGATATGTGGCACTTGGAGCCACGAAGTGTGTATCGGTTTTACAAACGAAGACAAAGATCACTATACTTAAACAAGCTGTGAATAACTTTTTTTTGCAAAAGTTAGTTACTTTGTTTTTTTAAAGAATGTGTTTTCTCCGACATTTGTTTATGTTATTTCCGGAAAAATATATTTTACTTGATTACTTAATAAGAAAAATATCTATTTTTCACGTAAAGTTTGCTGTTGATACCTATTTGGACTTATATTCTAGGTTGGTCCTTTTAGCCGATGTCATTTTTTCATGTGTTTTTTTATAAATAAAGTTTTTTCCTTAAGTGGGCTTTATTTTCCGCAGGTACCTTAGTATATGGGATATTTGTTGTGCCTTCTATAAAGAGGTTTGACCAACGCCGCTGAGCGTACACCTCGCGAGGAGTCCATTAACCAACTCCTAATGCCTTCACCAGCAGGAATCCGTTTTTCCATTCAGGAACGGAATAGCCGCCGCTCTTCCTGCTGCCTGGGAACCAGTGTAGCTTCAGCTTCGGTCTGTACAAAAACGGATACTGGTATACCGAGGTTAACCCTCGCTTAATTAACCCGCACGAGCAGCAAGAGGTATGCTCCGAGTAAGTTGCACCAGCAAAATTACGACCGGAATGTTTTGCTACTCTATACGGAATGAGAGAGAGACGGGATGGTCGTGAGTCGTGATGTTGGGTAGTTTCACAAACTTGGAGTCCTTTAATGTATAGAGCAGCTTAGATTATTTTCATTTTTCACGCACGGGCGTGGAAATTACTTTTATCTATACACTTTTTCAGAATGTTGCGATATAATGTACAGATTAAGTCTTTTGTCCAAAGCATCTTCAAAGTAAAAGCATCTACAATCTGCATGATCAAGAGATATGTAAGCAGTGTTATCAGCATTTTCTTTCGATGGTTCAGTTGTTGCAGGTTTTTTATTTTGTTTCCACTATTGTACATAAAATTAGATTATCAGATAATATTTATTGAACAGACACCTCCTTAGACACCGTGCTTGGTTTTGGTAGAATCAGGGAACCTTTGCAGAAAACACGCTAATGAGTAATCTCTATTAAGTTTCATTATTTTGTCTGTTTTACGTCCAATACACTTATCCTAGTTGAGGAATGCAGTTTTAGCTTATTCACTGATAGGCTATCTGATGGTATGCTTAAGTTTTCGAGTGAGTTAATCAGTGATGTTATAACGGTATAAAAACATACAAAACTTACGATAAATGTATAGTTGAATAAACAATTGTTGAAGAACTTAGATTAATGCTTAAAATGTATGTTAACACACAGTAAATCACATTTCTCAATTGATGTATAGGTTAAAATAATAGTTGAATAATTCGTACCTAAATGAATATTTTATTTCATATTGATTGCATTTCAATTATTCTGTGAAATGGGGTCATTAACGATGTGAAGTATGATTAGTAAATAAAGTCTGTTCACAAAACAGGAAATCGAACGTACACATTTTTTAAGAACCTCGAATTATACCAAATGTATCAATATTTCATAATCTTCATCAAGTTCATTCACGAAGTAGTTAAAAGGGGCCCAAAGCATGATGAATTGAAAAAACACACTTTTTATGAAATATTTTTTTTAATGTTTGCCTCTTAAATATTTCTTTAGAGTCTCAAAAATGATTACACCAATTACGTAGTCATGCCATAAGTTCTGTCCCTCGTTTTCAAACAAGTGTAGACCTGTTAATACTTGTCCGATTGTTTACATTGTGGTGTCAGTTGATTAAGCGCTTTTCGGGTAATTACATATACCTCAGTTTGTATTGATCTCTCGAAGCATAACGATGGAGTGGGGCAAGGCAGAGAACCGTATTGCAGTGATAGCTTTACATAAGTGTAATCACAGTGCTAGTCAGATTTTTGAACTCTTACGCGGCCTTCAAATATCGCGTAAATTTGTGTCTAGGACCATTCAGCGGTACACTGAGACGTCCTCTGTTGATGACAGGCCAAGAAGCGGAAGACCTCGTCAAGTAAGGACTCCAGCAGCCATCAAAGCCGTAAAAGCCAGGATTCAAAGGAATCCACTCCGGAAGCAGAAGATCCTATCCAGGGAAATGAAGATTCCTGTCCGGACGATGTCGCGCATCATTAAACAAGACCTAGGGCTAGGGGCTTACCGGAGACGTACGGGCCAGCGACTTACGGCCACCTTGCGACACATCAGGGCGACAAGATCCAAGAAGCTCTTGGAGAGGTACGCAGCTGGGGGATTCCGAAAGATTTTGTTCACGGATGAGAAAATCTTCACCATAGAAGAAAAATTCAACCGACAAAATGACAAAGTGTATGCAAGGAGTTCACAGGAAGCTTCGGAGATCATTCCGAGAGTTGAGAGAGGCCACCACCCTGCGTCAGTCATGGTTTGGTGGGGGGTGTCCTACGAAGGGGTCACTCAGCTCCATTTCTGTAAACAGGGCGTGAAAACAAAAGCGGCAAACTATCAGAGCGACATACTGGATCCTATCGTCAAGCCTTTAAGTGGTACATTGTTTGCCAACCAACACTGGGTCTACCAGCAGGATTCCGCCCCCGCTCACAAGGCTAAGAGTACGCAGCGCTGGCTGGAAAGCAATGTGCCAGAGTTCATTGCTGCGGAAGATTGGCCCTCAGGGAGTCGGACCTCAATCCTTTAGACTACAAGTTGTGGGACCTGCTAGAGCAGTTGGCCTGCTCCAAAGCCCACCGTAATATCGAGTCCCTGAAAGCGGATTTGATCCGATCAGCGGCAGCTATTCCTTTGGAAGCTGTGCGTGCAGTGATAGATGAGTGGCCCGCGAGATTGAAGCAGTGTGTGAAGGCCAAGGGGGGACATTTTGAATAAACTGTTTGATTATGAATTCTAAAAATGTTGTCGAATAAATAATATCTTTCATATAAATATATCTTATCTTGTTTCATTTTTATCATGAGATTATCATGGGACAGAACTTATGGCACGACTACGTATATCCAAAATTACGTAAAACCTATGCCGCAGATCGTTCCATTGCAGTTTCCGTCACTCAGTCTGATCGTTAAAGCACATGTATTGGGTAACTTGGACTACAGTGTTACAGAATTCATGGGATTCTGATGGTGAGGTCCATCACTTACATACATATTGTAAGTGCTTGAAACAGGCACCAACGGTTAGTTTATAAAACTGTATCAAGGGTGGCAGCGATGGCGTAGTGGTAGACGTTATGGGTCTATCAATCAGTCGCCGTGAACTGCGCGTGTTCGAATCCCGTCCCAAGAGAATTTTTCACTTGACTATGGATGCTGTGATTCTCCGTAGGTGATAGACGATCTCTGACTGTCGAACGCGGAGGTAGCACCCGGCGGATCTCGTAGGAGAGGCCAGAATGTGTGCATGTTGGATGCACGCGTGTTCCCTCGCTAGGGGTCCGTGTGGCGTCCCTCCCTTATAGTCCCACGGTATCTCATGGGTGTTTAGGCCCTCGTGGTGGTTGAAGTACAAAGAACTGCACGATAGCTCACACGCCAGGATTTCCAGGCCGATAGCCGAGAGGATCGAAGATAATTTCCGCTGACATTTCACGTCCGAACGATTTTAACCGACTATAGAAGTACTTGTCAAGATATTTGAGACTAATTCCGTCATGAAAGTCCTTGCCAACACGAAATTGCCATTGACACCAAGGGTCATTCACCCTATGGGAGAAGTACCCTACGAGCATAAGGCCTGGATTCGGTTGACACCAACAAAGTTTCTGGTGTCTCCTCCTTTATATCTCTATTACATGTCATATGGCTTCACAATTTAGCAAAAAAACAAATGTACGAACCGCTTGTGTGTAAAGACTTAAGCCTGTGTTGCATTTATACGATTCTGGGTCATACATAATATAACGAAACTCATGATATCTGACCAAACATGATGTCTCCAAACTGAAATGCCATCCTTAAAAACTTAAAAATTTCGCAAAGTCATCACTACACAACTCCGCTCTCAGCAAAGTTATGATTACGGAATCTGCATATATCTCGTTATCCAAAACAGAACTTCTGAATCATACTTGTAAAATTAATTAGGGAAACTAAATAATCTCATAGAGCTCGACGCTCGACATAGCGGCACGGCGTATCATCTGCAAAATCTCGCAGACCCACAGAAGCTTTATTATTACCAAAAGGATCTTAGTGGCGGAATTTCCGCTCTGAATATACTCTCAGGCGAAAGAGTCGCTATTCTACCAAGAAGCTAACAGGCTGTTACATTGCTACGATGTGGGTTTGCAGTGCGCTCCACATTATTTGTAAAGCTCCTTCATCTCAAGTTTTCAAATACACCCTGATTCTGATGTGAAAACTTTACATCTCAAAGGTTAGACAACCTAAACACATGATTTTAATATCCAAACACTAGTTCCACTAGCCCAACGTATATATGTAAACGATTAAATATAACCACATAAACCACCGGATCGGCCTAGAGTCATATGCAATCATTGGTGACTTGTGAGTTACTAGCTATTCCACCAGAATTGCAGACAAACTTGCATGATT